AGTGCTAAGGGCACAACAATTGTTGCCACTCGTACCCAGAGGCTGACAGAGTGAGCTGGCTGTTGGACCTCCATGCACAGAGGTTGGCAGYTCCAGGAGAGACACTGACCCTCTCTGAAACAGGAGGTTGTTGGCCTGGAGGGGCCATGCCTTATCCTGACAGCTGGACAGAAAGGATGGAGACAAGGTCACACCATCCCCTGACCTTTCCCTGCCACAGCTCCTGTACCATGGACAAAGGCACTGCTGGGGTGACAAGTGACTCACAAGGCAGCTGGGGAAGAGGGTTTGCAGCAGCTGGACAGGCACAAAGTGTCACCACCAAGTTCTAACATCCCTCTGCCTGGGTTGCAGGACATGGGGTGAATCATGGGGCACAKGATTTATGTACACTTCCAGCCTGGAAGGAACGGGCTGAAGTTCTGGCTGGATGTGTTTCTCCAGGTTTGCCAGCCTCTGCCTGTTCTTTGTTGTGTCTGAAACAGGGCTGTGCATAGTGTCTGMGGTTCACAGGGTTATGACAGATAGACGTACCTTGGGAAGGCATTTGTTGGGATGTGCAGCAGTTGGATACTCAGGGGCCACACTCAACCTGTGACTTCTACTTCTCTGTTGGGTTGCAGACACCAAGACGACCTTGGAAGAAGCTCCATGAAGGTGACCAGCCATGCAATGTTCCTGGAAGGCTGTACTCCTCCTAGCCTTGGCATCCATTGCAATCCAGTACACAGCAATCCGGACCTTCACTGCCAAGTCCTTCCACAGCTGCCCCATCCCTAACCCTGTGAACTGCAGCCTGAGCCAGGACACTGATGTGGCCGACAGGCTGTGCGATGAGAATCCMACTTTCCCATACAACCTCTCCAGGAAGACGCACGTTCTCATCCTCGCCACCACCCGCAGTGGCTCCTCATTTGTTGGGCAGCTGTTCAACCAGCACTTCGATGTCTTCTATTTATTTGAGCCCCTCTACCACGTCCAGTACACCCTGATCCCGAAGCTGACCCAGAGCAAGAGTACGACAGACAGGCGGGTGATGCTGGGCGCCAGCCGAGACCTGCTGAGGAGCCTGTATGACTGYGACCTCTACTTCCTGGAGAACTACATCAAGCCCCAGCCCATCAACCACACCACCGACCGCCTCTTCCGCAGGGGAGCCAGCAAGGCCCTGTGCTCACCACCTGTATGCGAGTCCCTGGGAGCTGTGGATCTCCACCTGGAGGAAGGCGACTGYGTGAAGAAGTGCGGGACCTTGAACCTGACGCTGGCCACCGAGTCCTGCCGAGAGCACGGCCACGTGGCCATCAAAACCGTGCGGGTGCCCGAGGTCAGCGATCTCCGGGCACTCGTGGAGGACCCGCGGCTCAACTTGAAGGTGATCCAGCTGGTGAGGGACCCCCGGGGCATCCTGGCATCCCGGAGCGAGACCTTCCGAGACACCTACAGGCTGTGGAGGATCTGGGATGGCACTGGCAGGAAGCCGTACAACCTGGACGTGACCCAGCTCACCACRGTGTGCGAGGACTTCTGGAACTCTGTGTCCACCGGCCTCAACCGGCCGCCATGGCTCAAGGGCAAGTACATGCTGGTGCGGTACGAAGACCTGGCCAGGAACCCCATGAAAAAGACTGAGGAGATCTACGATTTCCTGGGCATCCCCATGGACAGCAACGTCGAGCGCTGGATACAGAACAACACCCGAGGAGACAGGTCCTCCTCCAAACACAAGTACGGGACGGTGCGCAACTCGGCGGCGACGGCGGAGAAGTGGCGCTTCCGTCTGTCCTATGAGATCGTGGCGTTCACCCAGCACGCCTGCCAGCAGGTGCTGGCGCAGCTCGGCTACAAAACTGCTGGCTCCGAGGAGGAGCTGAAGAACCTCTCCATCAGCCTGGTGGAGGARAGAGACTTCCTGCCCTTCTCCTAAGGCAGCCCCAAGGGGCCCGGTTTTGATGCAGACTGTTTCTAACTGATGCCTTATTTTATTTTCTTTGATTTTGTTTCCCCCTCTTTCTCTCTCTTGTCTTTTTCTCTCCAAAATTTGCACTAAACCTTGAGCAGGAATCTCAATGGCTGAGTCCAGGGGAAGTGACTGCTGCCCCTCAATACATTTTGGATGCCAAGAGGAGTTGGGTCTCTCCAAGCAAGAGCTAGAACTCTGGATGGGTAACAATGTTTACAAAACACACAAAATGTATAAAGCAACCTTCAAGCTTTCCAAACCGAAGGGTAATTGGGGTACTGTACTTTTGCACTGTTTACTTTTACAATGTAAGAGGTAAATATAATTTATGAATGGTGTCATCCCCTCCAAAATAACTCCCCCTGCCCCCTGCCCCCAATGAGCAGGTTTGACTGGAAGCTGAAATGGAACAACCTCCTCATTTTTGATCTTGGTGCGACATGTCTGTCTGTTTAAGTCCTGTTGGGCTGGGCAGTTGGTCAGCTGCTCCTACATGTTTGTTTGGTAACACCTGTGATATTTCTTTGTGCCAAAAACCCATAAAAGAAAAAAAAAAAAAAAGGGAAAAAAGTGATTGGGTAGTTTGGGAAAAGCCCATCACATTTAATGCTTTATTTCTGTGTTTTCTGTAAATAAAAGTGCAATAAAACCGACCTGGGGTTGAACTTCAACTGAAAGACCTCAGCGAGTGTACGGAGGTGGATGCCACCACCAGGCAAAGAGCAGCATCTCCTGGGCTGCCTGATGTCCGGGAGGCTGGGAGYGGGTGGGGAAGGCTGGGGGAGCAGGCACCACAGCCCCAGGGTGGCAAAGGCTGCAGCCACCTCTTCGGGTATGTGTGTTTTTGCATCTGAAGTGTACCAAAATGCAAGCAGTTAAGCCAAAAGCAAGACCCCGTGGTTAATTTACTGACCTGAAAGCTCGTTGGTCTGCATGGGGGCGTGGGACTTGCTGCAGTGCCTGGCTCCAGAGYGCTACTGGCACCAGCACAGCGAGCCCAGCCCCCAACCATGTGTGACAGTGCTGCTGCCAGGGTTGGCACACCCTGCCCTGGAGGACAGGCAAAGTGCTCTGGCACAGGTCATGAAACTGCCAGAATGAAAATGAACAAGATGATCCTGGCAATACTCAAGTATTCCTTCATGAGCTGCCCGCTGCCTGCAAGACACCTGGGCCTGTGGGCTGAGCAGGTCAGAAGCTGCTGAATGGGGGAGCCGGGCATGCAGGGCAGGAACACTGAGAGCCTTACACAAGACATTGCTGGGCTACTTGATCCTTGTCTGATGGAACAGCTGGTCTCCTCCTCCATTCCCGCTAGGAGAGTCCCAACAGTCCAGCCCTTGGGACGTGTCCTGCAGACCACAAGCAGCTGCAAATGGGAAGACACTGGGGCCAGTCCCCAGGGCACAGAGGACAACAATGCCCAGCAGTTTCCCAGTCGTTCCTGGAGCCAGGCAGTGCAGGGACCCACAGAGAAATGAGACCACAATGTGTGACATCTACTCACAGCTGCACACTCCCAGCTTTGGGCCTGCTCCTGGCTCAGAGGTATCTGAGCCACTCACAGTCCACCCACCTGGGCAGGTCTTCTCTCCAAAGGTCWCTTCTGAGGTCTGCTGCCCACCAGCTTTCTCCCCACTCTTACCTGGGAGAAGACTGGGTGCTGCAATTGCACACAGGGGGATGGGACACACTGCCTGAGTGAGACAGGGCAAAGCAGTAACTACAGGTGATTTTGCCCCATCCTTTCACTACTTAAAGACCTCTGGATGAGCAGCTTGTTAGTGGTRTTTTGCAACTTGGCTTAATGTGGCAAACCAGCTGGGCTGCAGGAAAGGTGAGAAGCTGTGATGTACCTGATAGCTTCTCCTCAGGGTTCACTGCTCGAGCACCTGTAATTCATCTGTGCTGTCTGCAAGGCTACATGGATGGCATGTGTGAGGAGGAATGGGGGGGACAGCGTGCACTTGCTGRGGGATGGGCATTTCCCTCATCTGCCTCCTCACAGTGGGCATAGGGGCAGCCCCTGGAAGAGACCATGTCCCCGGGTGGCTTCACCTCCCTGTCACTGCCAAMCTCCTCCTGTCACCAGCCCGGTGCCTCCCAAGCCACACTGCCTGACTGTGTCTGCATGTGAGGATGGAGGATGGGGCAGGTGGCAGAGGTGGTCGTGACAACAGCCTTATTGGTGTGCTGTGTGCTGCTCCTACCAAGCAGCTGGCAGCAAAATGCCAACCAAATAAATGGCTTGATTGCCCTGTTATTAGTTACTAAATTAATCCTTTTGTCAGCACTTAACAAATGCTGAGCTGTTGGCTCCTGGCCTCGACCCAGTAAAAGGGACACCCTGTCTTGTGCCTGATCCAGCAYTGGCCGGCTGCTGGGCTGCAATCCTCCCTGAGGGCTGCACATTCCCGGGAGCAATGCGTAGCTCTGCCTGGGTTAAGTGCCCATGGAGCAGATGAGGTGTCCGGAGTTGCCAGCTGTGCCCCCCAGCACCAGCACTGCCAGCCAGGCAGCAGAGGGGCTCGCTGCAGCTCTGGGGAGGGATGTCAAACAGCCATCTCCTGCAGAAAGAGCAGGCTGCTATGAGGAGAATTTGCTTCCTCAGCTGGGAAAAATGGCTATGCAAACCTGCCTGAAGGAACAGCGGCTGCAGAGCCAAAATTTCCCATCTTCAGCTGCTGAGATCCCACTTTCAGGGCTAGGCCAGCTGTCCCCAGCCTGAAAGCCCTCTTTGCACTGGTCTTTAAACCAACACAAAAAATTGAGTTTAGAAGTCTTATCCAAACTGTTCTTACCATTCCAATCAGGAAAGGCGCCTGCAGCAAAATGGCTTTTGAACCGCGGTTGAAAGCTATGTCCTAGTTTAAGCAGAGATGGAGATTCAGCCTTGCTTGGTGCCTCATCTAGAGCCCTTAGGGGAGAGATCTAATTTCCCAAGGAATCTCTAACATCTTCCTTCAACTGTGCTTCCTCTCCTCATTTCCCCCCACTGGAAACAAAAGCCAGAATAATCAAGGTTTTTATCCTCAAATTTTACTGTAATTAAAATACAGAGATGCAGAATATTCCCAGAAACACACTGCAAAACAAACCAAGCAAACAAATTCAGTAGGAAACCAATTACAGACAATGAAATGATAAAGAACTAAAGTGTTCTCTGGAGCCCAGCACTGTGCAGGGGACCGCGTGGCCGCAGTTTTGGGTTGCCAAAGGGCTCCTCAGCTCCTAGGGAAGCAGAGTTGGGCCCTGGCTCTGCGGCGCTCTCTAACCATCTCCATATTCCCACTCATGCTGTTGTTTTTACAAGGATGACTTTGCAATGGAGACACGGAAATGACCCACCCACAGGGACAAGAGCCAAAAAGGGAACCCAGAGAAAAAGAAGTAGGTTAGGATTTTCCACACACAAAACACAAGGGGACCGAGGYGGGTGGAAGACATGCACTTCTCTCCCAGCCAGGGGAGCTGCGGGGGCAATCACCCTCTGCCCTCCCAGACACTGCGAGTGTGGATGTTTAACGAAGGTCTCAGCAAAAGTTTCGGGGAGCTCTATCCATGGGCAAGACTGAAAGCTAAGGGAGGGATAAAAAAGTGAAGGATGATGAGACTAAGGAAAGGGAAAAGGGAGGAGAGGATGCGCCTGTGGGTCTCCTTTCAACCAGGTCGTGTTTCGTGGGCACAAGCAACAGCCAGTGAAGGTGGGACACAGGGCTGCATATAGGGCCACATCCCACSTCCACCATGGGAGACACCCAGCCCCATCATGGGGAAATCATGACAAAAGAGTGGGGGAGTTTTGGGAAGGTTACTGATAAGAAGGGAGCTGATATGATGCTTTGAGCATCCATTGATCTATCTAAATGGAAATCCCTAGCAATCATCATTACTGTGGAAGCAGGGCACAAGCCAGGCACGAACCACCACCAACCACCAAAACCCACATTTACCCACTCCCCTTTCTGTGCTCTTCCCTAGGACAAACTCCTTGTGCTCATTTTCTGATTCAAAGCCTGTCCTAAGGAACAAATTCTCTCCATGCTCCCTCCACAATTTTCTTGTTCCCCTCAACTCCTTCTGTCACCACTCTCATCATCTGGGTACCAACTAACTTCAATCCCTACCCCAGTGCCACCCCCTCCTATTCTCTACCAAGCTACCCCATCTGATAGCCATGGGATTTATGCACAGCACAGTGTTTGCCCTTGGTACCGTGAATGGGTAGTGAGAGAAGGGCTGCACCAGTAGCCCAGGTGGCTGGAGTCTCTGTAGTGGGGGAGGAGCAAAGATGGGGCATCTGACAAGAGCCAACAGCTTCCCCATCCAATCCAGATCCCACTGTCCTGCAATCAAAGCTGTCAGGAGGCATCTTTACTTTTAGACTGGGAAGACTRCCCTGTTTTCCCTCTGCTCTGCCACTGTGAATGCCCAGAAAAGCAGGCTGGGACTGGGTCACCATGATGAACTGAGCAGGCCGTTGAGTCCTGCAGAGTTACTTATTCCTGAATACCTGTGAGGCCCTGGTTTTGGAGTAGATTTTATCATCTACCCCTGCCTGCTAATTTGATTCCTTYTGCTACTTATGGCCCTGAGTTCTCCTTTAGCTGGGCTGTAAGAAGAGCGATTTAGGCTGTGAGTTTGCCTCTCCAGCTCATCTCTTCTTCTCCAGGCCATCCTGCAAGGAAATGGCAGTTCCAGACAAATGGCAAGCTTYACTCCATTTACTGCAAGGATGCACTGAAAAGAAGAAATAAAAAGATGGGAAACCCTCAGAGACCCTGTGGCCTTCCTTAAATCACCTTTATCCCATCTGCCACGCCGGCTCTGTACACTCAGTGCCTGCAGACAACAGCTTGGGCAGGATGTTCTGCCTCCCCCAGCAAGAGCCTGTGTGAGACAATGTTTAGCCAAAAGCACGATGAGCCTCCCACCAYCCACCCAGGGCTGGCTGCTGAAGGTTCCTAGATACTCTCCTCTCCTGTCCAAGACCTGGGAGAGACATTTAGAAAGAMGACTCTTCAGTCCCAACTGGCCAGAAACTCTCTTTCCCAGAGGGTTGGTGACAACACAGCTAGTTACAAACAAGCAGCTTTTAGCTTTGGGGCTAGAGCTTGCTCCAGGTGCAGCCTGTGATCTGGAACAAGAGATAAGATGAGCTTAGGGAGAGCAGAGATCCATGCAGTGCAAACTGTCCTCCTGCTTTGAGACAAAGGGAGAACAGACAAGACTTCTTCTGGCCTTGCCAACTGCCACGAGCATCCCAGCACAGTACAGGCACACATCAAGGCCTGATCTTTCTGTGAAGTTGCTGCCTTCAGAGACAAAACTGACATGTCTGGGTCAACTTGGCCTTCACCAGAACAAAGGAGACAAAGTGAGGAAATGCACACATATACCAAATGCTCCTTCCTCTTAGAAACAAAGATGTAAGTTAAACCTCTCTCGTGCTATCAAGAGTAACAAACTGTGGAGATCAGCAGCTTCTTACCACCGCAAATAGCAGGGGCTACCTAGCAATGGGTATGGAGAGTGAATAACACCAGCATGATTATCACAGGGACACAGCAACACACGTCCCAAAATGTGGATTTAATAAAGGTCAGAATGAAAACTGCGTCACAAGACCAAGAATATTCAGCAAAAATGGTGGCGGGGTGGGTGTGTGGGTTGTACTAAAATATTCCCTGATGTCTAAGACCTAAGCACAAGAGAGCAGTCAGGAAGTGCAACGACCTCCAAGGGGAAATGAAGATCAAGAAAGCTGGCTTCAATGTCCAAAAGATAGGGCTGAGAGAAAACAAACAGCACAGACGGGAGAAAGGGGATTTTTCACATTCCTTTGGTTTCAATAAACTAYGCGCTTGGGCAACAGAGGGCAAAACATCCTCTAAAACATGATTTTTCTTTTGACCAGGACCCTATATAAAACTATATGCTGAAAAGTGCTGAAGATGACAATGTAAACTCCTCTGCGGCAGTGGCACAGGTTTGTTTCCCTGGCTGAAGACATGCCTGTGGACTGACACACGCACGCTAACACAGATGCATATTTATAAAATACAGCACAAGCACTGCTTCACTTGCCTATGCATCCAACAGCTATGGACCTAGGCACATCACCTGCCAAAGCCAGGAGCAGCAGAATTAATGGTGGAGCCTGTGGCCTTCCTCGTCCTAAGAATTGCAGGGGACCTTGGGGTGAGTGAGTGAGTGCCCATTTGTGTTTGTGTGTGTGTGTGCAATGCCACGTGGCTCTTGAGCATCACGGGCCAGACTGAGGATGGCTGTGACTCCCAGGTGGGTGCAGGTGTCTGGGTTTCTGCGGCACTACGACTATGGGTGGGCTATTTAGTGCAACAYGGTCATTTAGAGGAGCGGGCTGGGGCTCCAGGAGCAGTGTGCAGAGGAGGAGTTGCTGGTGCCCTGTGCAGGCTGGCTGCTGTTGGAGCACGCTCAGCCCCTCGGGAAGTGTTCTCCAGCGTGGTGCAGCCCACTCACACCCAGGCCACCACTCCCAGGGTGCTGAGTCATGGGGAGAGCAACACTCTCGGCCTCCCCTCCATCCCTGCAGCAGAATTTGGGTGGCATTTGGGAACACACTTGCTCCTGGTTACTACTGACGTCTGTGGAGTTGAGTGTGGCCAAGAGACCAAATGCCCTTGTTGCAGACAGGGATACTGGAAGGACTTCAAGGGTCAAACAAAAGGCCTGGTCTCTCTGTGGAACATCACTGCCTGTACTGCAATATCACAGAGGCCTGGCATGTGCCACTGTCAGCTCCTTCCCCAAATGGGAGCATACAGCAGCTTTCATACTCCTCCCTCTCACCAAGAAAATCTGTACAGAAGTTGATGGTCTGGAATATGTCATACTCTGGTGAGGCAACATCCCCAGAGCTGCTCTGCTGAGTCTGAGCATTCCCTCTCTGAAGGGTGCAGTTCAGCCAGGGAGTAGGAGATTGGGAGCAGCTTGTGGGAATGGGCCCTGCCAAGAAAAGGTAAGAGGCGCAGGGCAGGAGGGAGGCTTCCCCCTCTTCACAGTATCTCTCCTTTGTGTCAATGGGACTTGTACAGTTTCTCTGCCAGGCACACCTCCCAAACACCCCTCCCAGAGCAAAAGGAAGGGGTGTTTCAGAGGCTGTCTTCCCAGTTGAAGTTGAATTTGACTACACAACCCACACTTCAAGCCAGGCATAGTTCCCCCCATCCCCTGTTACTCTCCTCACCTCCAGGCAGATGGAGCCTGATGCCTTCTCCCATCCCTCCATGCTTACAAGAGCAAGAAGGGAGGAAGGAAACTACAAGACAGAGACAACTGTGCCTTTAAAGTCCTCGGAGTAAAGATGGTTCCCAGTAGGTGATGGGAGTGAAAGGCATTGACAGTGGCTCTGTGAGCTCTGAGCCAGGCAGGCGGTGCTGAGCAGGCTGCAGCCAGAGTCTGCTCGGGTGCTCGACCCTCCCTGAAGCAGCTGGTTCCAACTCAAAGAGGTGCTGGGTGGGGGAGAGTATGGGCAGGTCGATCTTTTGGAAGGGAGCTGTGACAGGGATTAGTCAGCCTTATCCTTCTTCTTTGCAGTGAAAGGGACTTTGCTGGCGACCGCGCTGCCCACAGCTCCGACGCCGCCGGTCACTGCCGAGACGCTGCCCTTCACCAGTCCAACGCCAGCAGCGGGGACACTGGTCACAGCTGTTTTGGTGAGCTCCAGACTCTTGCTGCCCACCCAGGCAACTCCTCCCAGTGTGGCCCCCACGGCTCCGCGGGTGATGCTGAACAGGCCGCCTGTCACTCTCCAGATGACTCCTGCCTGCTGCTGTGGGTGGTCCTTGCTGGCATCTGTGGGGAGAGAGAGAAAGGGAATGTCACAAGTGGAGACCTTCTCCCTGGGAACCTCTGCCAGCCCAGGAGGGCTGTCAACCATGGCACATGCTCTCATATACACAAATGCTGTGCCTTGCAGCCCTGGACCTTTTGGTGCCTCAAGGAGGAACGAAGGCAATCTCAGGCCTAGCCCAGAGCAGGGAAAGGACTTTGTGGGGGTAGGAGTGGGAGCAGAATTGCCTGTGTGATTGAGAAGGGAAGAAGGCAGGCCAGACACAGCCCCAAACTTGCAAGCCTTCAGCAGTGCAAAGCAAGTCCCACTTTACAAGGGATGTAATTCCCCTCCTGTGTGTGTTGGCTAATGCCAGTCAATCACAAAGACTAATGCCAGCACAAAAGGCACGAACTGCAGACAGCAACAGCTGATGTTTGTGGGGCCTGCAGGTCCTCAGAAGCATCTGCTTGGAAGCAGGTCTGGGCTCATGTCAGACACGGACTGAGGCACAGCACAGACTTATCTGCGAGAGCTGTAATTGAGCGAGCAGAGATAGCAAACTGCAGTAAAGATACAGTGACAGAAACGTCACCTCGGGTTGTACAAGCCCTCCGGAGATCTCAGCTACGTATTTAATAGTGCTAAGACGGCGCTTAAGTTACTGCACTGTGTCACTGCTGGTTTACCTGTGCCAGCTGGATCGAGGCCAGCATGATATACCCACCCAAGCTGCCATCACACCTGCCCACAACACTGCAGACATAATGTTCACAGCTCACCACTTGGGAAAGGGTTGACTCTGAACTGCTACTCACGGGATTCAAACCTGACAGCTCTCCTGCTGGCCTACACACAACCCTCTCCCTTTGCTTCAGCTCCCTTTGCAACAATGCGGGGTGCAGGCAGCAATGCAAGAGCTGCTCTTTTCATGAGGCAAGGTGTTTTGGATACTCTGACTTAYGATTCACTGCCAGTTCTGTACATGAGATGAGTTATGAATAATTGCAAGAACACAATAAAGCAAGCCAGGCAGGGAAAAAAAGGAGTGTGTTCACTCTGAAGTCCATGGGGAGCTGGTGTGGAAGGTTTGCAGGTCTACTGATGAGAATTAATTTTCTACATTTATTATGCCACAGTAGCTTGTGCTGTGTTCAAACACAGGTGACAACACCCACAAAAGTAGAGGTGGGCAGGTGATGTAAAATCCATTGGAGTTTCCATTCTGGGAGGGTAATTCAGTTCAGAAAGTGGTCAGTCCACTCTACCTGTTAATGTTCCTAATTCTCCAGAATGAAATAGTGCCTCTGACCTCACAGTGTAATGAAATAGCTTCAGCTGGGGTAATGAATATTGTATTTCCGGCTCTGTTACAAAGACAGCAAAGCAGTGAATCTTTGTGCTTCTGCAGATGCAAATGGTGCTAAGTGGGAATCATCTTCAGACGGACAACCAGTTGTGACAGAGGAGCAGAAACCCTAAATGTTTATAGGTTATGCTTTCTTTCCCCCCAGTGAGTCACAAAGTCAGCAGCAGTAAAATAAAAAGCAGACAGAGAAAGGCAGAACATGGGTTAGGTCTGTAAAAAGCTAAATAGCACAGCCACTTGAGAATGATGCTGGCATTTGTATGGTTATCCTACAGCTTTGTTAGATTTTTTTTCCTGAAGGATGGGAGCTCCCRTGGCTTTATTCATTGGAGGATCTTGTTGTTAGGTGGAGAGGACTACAGTAGGATATTGCTGGCTGTTCAATCACTGTGATTTTGTYGTATTTGCATAAAGCACAGCTATTTCAGACTCCCATTTTTTTCTGACAGCCTCCTGATCCTGCTTATCACAAACCAGCAGAAGAAGCTGCAATATTCCCCATCAGCCTAAGCTGAGCCCTWCCCATCACCATGGGTTTCSYGATCAGAAAGATGCAGGAGCAGYAATGTTGAGGCCTGTTGGGATTGCCTTGGGATGCCCTTTCCAACACCAGTGTTCCTGGAGCTGTAAGCTGTTTGACTGTCTCAACCCTAACCCTAAGCCTAACCCTGAAGGTTGTGTGACGATCCTTCCCTAGGTAATTCTGTCCTGAATTCTTTTAAAATTCTGCAGAGTCTGGAGGTTCTTGGATTGATACATTTTCCTCTGAGCTTCTCTCAGTCTGAACAGAAGTCTCCCTTGGGCAGGGAGTCTGATGTTCACCAGCTCTAATGACTTGAAATAAGACTTAAATGACACATCTATCTGATAATCTGGACAGCAATATGGAGTTTGAAAAGGGCCAGTACAAAGTTTCCAGTGTACAGTTCTACCTGGTATACAACCTATTCTTACTTATTCCTCAACAGTTTCTCAAGAGGGCTTTTTTCCTCCTCTCCCTCAACGTTACTGAGTCCCATTGGCTCCATGTCCAGTTTAGCTGCCAGTTCTCAACTGYTCCACAGAGCTTATCCAGTACAGCCATTTCTGTGTTTTGTCTGCAGCCTGAGGGCAGGAAGAACCAAGGTGTCCAGAAATCTGTGCAACTGTAAAGCAGGACTAGGTGAAAACCAGAGTGGTCCTCCAAACAAGCACTGTCCTCCAAGGATGGCTGGTCTTGTGTTCCTGCTCTCCTGTCTGAGGAAGAGGAATCCTTTGTGTCCCAGAGGACTGCAATGCAGAAGCTCTGGGCATTAACACCCACTGGTATGCTCAGCTGCAGAACCAAGACCTATATCAAAGTAGCAATAATCTTCCTGGCTCTCCCCCAGTAAAACTGCATCTGAGGCTACCTGGAACCTGGATTTATGCCTCTGGAGCTGCCCAGCTATCTGAACTACACTAATAGGAGAATCTCTTACAAGGTATGGGAATGCCTGCACGTGGACAGCCTATGGACCAGAGAGAGGTGGGAACTGCAGATGAGATTGAGGAGGGGCGGTGTTCCTCTGCCAGCAGAGAGTTAGAATATATTGGAGAAAGTGTCAGGAAATACTAATGAAGACAAGACAAGGACAAAGTTTCTTTCTAATTAAGTTAGGCAGAGACAACAAAGCTGCAGTGCACTGGAGCACCAGTGCTTGCACACTGCCTGCATCTGCTCTGCAGCCACTCACAGTCCTTAAAACTCCTCAGAGAGAGGGATGGAGGATCTGGCCCTAGGATGGTGACAGGCTGTTGCACAACCACTCTAACAGCTCCAACACAAAGCTTAGAAAATGCACCACACCAAAAACTCCCAAACTGATCAACCAAATGTACAAAAAACCAAACCAAACCAAAACCAAATACACTCAGGTTTGAATAGATTTGAACAGAAAAAGATAAATCCCTTGTGACCCCAACCACAAGGGGCCACATCCTAACCTGTCAGCAAGCTGAAATAGGTCATATTTGTTCTATATTCCAGATGATGTGTTGAAAGMTTTCAAACCATCCCTGGTTAGTTTGTCTTCAGGATTGCAATAAACCCCACAGTAAGCTGTCATGTAAGATAAGCATCAGATTTACAGTGCAAATTAGTCTCTCAGACAATGGAGCGAGCTAAGCATTTTGTTGGCACAGGGGAGCCCAGATTAAGAGTGAGAAAGACAGCAGAGATGAAATACACAAAATAATCAGASAGACAGACACACAGCCTAAGCAGGGGAATAATTCTGTTCCCTGGAGCCCGTTGAAGCCCATGCTGCTCAGGAAAGCTCTTGAGAATCTGCGGAGCCCTTTTTCCTCTCCATCAATGACCTGGCTTTTTCAAGGGTCCCTTCAGCTTCACTTCACCTCATGTCAGCTTAGAACAGAAGAAGGAGAAAAGAGTTGAATAAAAGGCTCTCCTCTATGAATGTCTGCATTCTGGGCTGGAGTTGGCACCCCACACAAGAGAGGTGTCTCCCCACACTCTCCTCCTTGGCCACCATCACATGCACTCCCCACTGGTTCCCTTCCAGAGCAGGGGTCCTGCCCACTGGGGCTCCAGACAAACTCAGGTCTTTTCACCTGATCCTAACAGCATCCATGACTCAGGGCAGAAGCGAGATTGATAATAACAGATAGAMCTTTCCATGCTGCCATGACACTCCTCAGGGCTTTGCACTGCATTCATTTGGAGAGACAAAATGTGAGCCTGTGCAGGTGCCCAGTACAAACGGCACAGGCATCACTCTTGCCCTCAGCTCCTGCCACCAGGTGATATGACAAGCAGGGTGAACTCTTTACTTTAAGAAGGACTTGTATAAGTTGTTCTTTCCTACCAACTTGTGAAAACAGCCCCAAGCCAGGAAAGCAGTGTCAGGGAGCAGCACTGGTTTTGCATCTTTCCATTTCTTCTGGGCCCCAGGCAAAGGAGCTGGGCTGCTCAGAGACCTAATGTAAACAGTCAATGTCATGAGTCTGTCCCTCAGCAAATGTGAGAGGAAGCAGTGAGGTCACTAGTTCAAGCCTGAATTACTCCTCTGACAACTATTAAGTGGCCACTGGTTGATTTAGGCAGGTTYGCTCACCTATAAAAATGTTTGGTCTAGAGGAACAAGCAAGGGTTGCAGGGTCAGCTACTCACACAATTTAGTCCCAGCTTTGCCCAGCTCATTCTTAAGCAACATTGAGCAAGTCATTCTGACCTTTACTACCTCTGCCCCACTGTGACTGAGAATGCGTGATTTTCTAAAAGCCTTTGTTGTTGAGCCACAAACAAGCATATATGGGAGAGAAGTTTCCAATCCTGATGTTTCTTGGAGAAAAAAACTGGAAGTTTGATTCAAGTGCACTCTTAATGCTCTGACAACCCCAAGTGGATTATTGTTATTTTTAACCTTGTGACTTTTTCAAGCCTACCTCAGTTGGAAATGCATGGGGCTGGCACTGATGTTTCTCTTTCCCTTCTGTAAAGCAAAGCTGAAGTTAATGATCCCTATTTCCTTGTATTGCTGCATTGTCATGAAGGTTAATTAGGTGCAGTTGGTGAGTGCTTTAAACAAGGAAATGGTATTTGTATCATCATGACTGGCACTGATACGATTCCTGTTCACATTCTCAGCAGAGACACCAATGAAAACTTCCATT